TTTGTCCACACAGTCCCACAGTCCTTGAAATCAATTTCCAGGAATCGGAAAGGACTTCTAGGGAAAAAGGAATACAACAAAAATACACTTCTACCAGTGCCTTCTAGTGACATATCACTGGATACAATCAATTCTATAAGTAACAATGAAACTGACAATTTTGTTTAAAACCTGAAGTGATTAGGTATGCATAATTTTAGCTATCTAACAACTAGTAGTTATTGGTTGAACAGAATGTATTGGGTGTTGCCCACACTTTGCACTTTAATAGCTGGCTTTTATATTCAACTATAAAAGACAGATGGGCACCTGTGCTTCTTTTGTGTGGCCTTGATTTAATTCTCTTTCTTGAAGTGGAAGCACTGTGTTTCTCACCATGTTATTATTATTTTTTTTTGGCCCTACCTGGTCATTGAGACACAAGGCGGATTAAACAGAGTAACTCAATGTAATCAATAGGATGAGACATCTAATAAGCAACATAATAGGACTACAATTATGGCAGTCTGAAATGAAATATCAGCTATACGTTAAGCCCTGCAGAAAATGGTATTACAGATGAATAAAAACAAAGCAGTGGGAATAGGGTAATATATACAGCAAACAGGTAATACATACTATACACAGTAGCATAGTTCACAGTCCCATTCCTTTATAAAAGTACCTTCTTGAACCATTTTGTAATAATACAGCTATGTTACTTTATGAAAATACCTGCCAGAACAATTCTATTTTAATAGCTGGCAGAACAACAGGCATGTGGAGGCCTTCCTGAACACCACAGGCAGGCTACTGCACAAGGTGGGGGCCACAACAGAGAATGCATATGTACAGGCAACTATTGATCTTGCCCATTTGCAGGGTGGGACCTACAGAAGGACAAGATCAGATGAGTGAAGCTGTCATGGTGGAGAATAGCGGGACTCACGGTATTGTAGATAAAAGAGCCCAAGGCCATGAAGAACTTTGTATGTGATAACCAGAATCTTGAATTGAATCTGGTAACTGATGGGCAGCCAGCAGACTGACTGCAAAATGGGTTTAATATGCATGCTCTGGCTAACTGCTGATAATAGCTGAGCTGCAGCATTATTTACCAACTGGAGTCTCCAAGCTAACTTCAAGGGAAGATCCACGTAGGGTACATTACAACAGTCTAGTCTCAGTGGCATGGATCCAGGAGGCCAGATTAGCCAAGTCAACAAAAGACCATCTTCTGGGCTAAATGAAGTCAGCCCCATAGCCAGAAATTTTGGGTTGCTGGGGCATGGGGAAATTTTGTGGTGCAGCAGGGGAAGGGGAGGAGGGAGGGGGAGGGGTGGTCACACACCTTCCCTGAACTCCAAGTGGGATCAGGTGCAGGCAGCCCCCACTAGAAAAATAGCATTTAAAGGGAACCAGTTAAATGCTGTTTTTCTAGCAGAGGCTGCCTGTGCCTGGAGTTCAGGGAAGGCGTGCAGCTGGCAGCTGCCCCTCTTCCTCCCCTACTGCAAGATTTAAAGGGTCCACTGATCAGCTGGAGGGCCCTTTAAATCTTGGAGGAGGGGAGGGAGAGGGGCGACTGCAAGATTTAAAGGGCCCTCTAGCTGATCAGCGGGCCACATGCTCCTGCCAATCAGCTGAAGGGCCCTTTTAATGTCTCAGAGGGGAAGGAGGGGGGGAGAGGGGCAGCAGCTATTGTGGGGTGTGCCTCACATTTGAAGGGGCGGAGCCCTGAAGTGCTCCACCATAGCTATAGGCCTAATGAAGTTAGAACAAAGTGTTTTTTGCAGCTGCATTGATTTGCTTCTCCAGCAGAAATGCTGGATCCAGTGTATCCTCTAGGCTCCAACTAAGCAAACCGAGCTGAATCCCATCAAAGGTGTGAAGCAAGATGCCCTTCAGATCTCAGCATTCCCAAGCAGCGCTACTTCCGACTTGTGAGGTTCAGTTTCAATGTATTTGCTATTTTAACCATAGCAGACAGGTAGTGGATCAAGACCTCTACTGTACCACCAGGAAATTCAGACAGAGATACAGAACTGGGTGTCCTCAGCATATTGATGATATTTCAAATTTAAAAATTATTTCTTTTAAAGGCTTTACATAAAGACTGGATAGCATGGGAGATAGGATTGCAATCTGAGGAACCTAAAGGACAAATGTGATACTGATGACAACTGGTTTCCAATAGCAACTCATTGAGTCACATGAACATACTTGAAGCTGTCTTATACTGAATGGGATCCTTTGTCCATCAAAGTCAGTATTGTCTACTCAGACTGGCAGCAGCTCTCCAGGGTCTCAGTCAGAAGTCTTTCACATGACTTACTCCCAGATTTGTGAACTGGAGATGCCCTGGATTGAACCTGGGGCCTTCTGCATGCTAAGCAGGTACTCTGCTACCGAGCCACAGCCCCTCCAGTCCGGTCTGTAAGAAATCATTTAAACCAATCCAAAACACATTGCCTTATATCTACTTTTCCCTTTAAACATCTCAATCACAAAATACAATATAAAAGAAGCAAATTAACTGAACCAGGACACTAACAGACAATCTAAACCATAGCAGCAAAGCCATAAGCATCAGTCCTGAACAATTTCTGAAACAGGTGTGTTTTTCTTGCTCACTGAATGATTATTCCATAGCTGAAAAGGCCCTATCTTGCATCCTAATCTGCTGCAGCTCAAAAGGCAGGGGGAAGCAACAGGGCCTCAGATGTTGATGAGAATCTAGTTTGTATACACAATTTCAGGTATCTCTTCAGAACATCCACAGCTTCAGGTAAAGGAGAAACAGAGATGAGTGCTACCATTTTAATGGGGAAAATATCTAGGTTTAAATTTTTGGCCAAGAGCTGACTCATCTACTCTGGCAAACTATTAAATGCAACAATGGAATTGAACAGGTCCTTAGCACACCTTGCTAGAGAATAAAGACTGTCAATCCCCCTCATTCATGTCTATCATTGTTAATAGCTACAATTTGTTTCTGGACGTGCAGTCACGTTAATTAAGTTAGCAAATCCAAAGATACATAAATGCTTTCATTAATATGAAAATTGAGCAAGCCAATGTATAGATATGCTTATTTAAGTTGGTAGCAAAAAAAGGAGGGAGAGAAGTAAGCCACTTATGATATAATCCATGTCATAGCAGTTCTACTAGCCCAGTTCCTGGGTAGAAAAGGAAAGCAGAGCCTATTTGTCAATAAACTTGCCTTTTTTAATTCACCAGAAGCAGATTCTAAGACTCAGTTGTCACTGCAACAGCCTTGTTCCAGTTACTAGGTCAGAGATGGTACTGCAGACATCAGGTAAGAGATAACAGCACAAGATTTTGAAGGGTGATTTCTTACAGAAGGCTTGCATTCCTTTGACTGTTATATGTATAACTATCTAGTACATTTTTTTAACACAACTGAAAGCAAATAGCTGCTTTGGCTGCTTTATTGTTTGCAGAGCTGGGCACATGTATTACACACAGTCAGAAAAGGCTTGAGATACCCCAGCACCATCCATTCTCCTGCTAAAAATGATGAAATTCTCCCTTCTACTGAGCCAATAGGTTCGTTGTCCATTTATTTCATTAGGCTTAGAGTACCAGTGAAACTTACTTTCTGTCTGTCATCTGTAGTTGCCACAACAAGATGCAGCTTATCTGCATTACATTCATTTTGCAACACTGTTAACACAATCATTCCCAGTTCTGACAATGCAGGAACTTTCCATTTCCTCTTCAAAGATGTGCCATTCTCCCGCAACAATATACATGTGTTGTGAGCGTGCATGTGTCTTAAATGCAAAGTTTAAAACAAGATTCTTTGGGGAGAATTGTTATACTAGATCTGAGATGCTGACAGCAATTGCTAGAGCCTAGCTGCCGAAACATCTAAAACTTGGCCTTTAATAATCACCAAAGTAATATAGCACCAGGCCACATCTGAGCAGGGACTCCCAACAGTGTCAGATTGTGTCAAACTGCAGGATTGTTATGGGATACGAGCAAATGTCCACACTTGTTTTACCCAATCAAATGTGAATTAGGCTCTAGATGTGAGCCTCCTGTGTATTAACCCACTGGCCTCCCCGTTATTACGACTACCACAGACCTTCACATTTGAAGGCTAATTTTAATTCAGCAATTTAAGCTGCTGCTGCAGATCTTTCTATACATTGTTCCATTCTCCCTTCTGATGATCCTTGTTTGAACTTTTACTCATGAGAAGTGCAACTGCGCAAGGGTCGTGAAGAAAAAAGATGCACACAACATGCAGACAGAGAAAACACACAGATATGGATATTGTGGGTACTAAGTTACACAGCATCATGAGGTGTCAAATCTTTATGTATACTTTACTAATGAAACACACACAAGTTTCTGGTGCAATTCTGCACAACAGATGAGAAATGGTAATACAATCCAACCTGCTTTAGCCATGCTTGGTATCCAGAAGATGTAAGTTGGAATCCATCTTTAGGCATGTGTATTCTGGGCTAGGAGAAAATAGACATAAGAGACCTACTTTTATATTGAGACCTGGCTACCCTATCTTCCAGTACCAAACACATTCTTAAACATAATGATTAATTCCCCAGGAAAATGCCAGGTAAACTATGACCATTCTATAATTATAGAACCAAATTCTTCTAACCAGCTCTAACCTTTAACGGAATTGTAGTTTCAACAGATACAAATGAATAAAGGGAAACATGAGCACTTCTCAATAAACTCTGTGTCTGGTCTTGGTTGGTTGGGCCAGAATTCTGATCCAGCCCTTCACGATTAAGGTAAGCCAAGCAGCTACATGCTCCTCCACTGATATCATTGAGCTGAGAACAGACTAAGACATCCTAAGATCCCAGAAGTGATTAAACCAGGGGTCTCCATTAGGTAGCTTGTGAGCTAACAGTAGCTTGCCTGCCCACAGAAGCCCCAGGAGAAGTCTGTGAAAAGATGAGTTCTAGACTTTTAAAAAAAGATTTCATAGGATTTTCTCTGTGCTGCTTAACTAACAGTTCCATTTCTGGTGCTTTATTTCAGCACCCATTTCTAGAACAGAACAAAATTAAGTAACATGCTGGGAGGCACATGGGAGTAGCTGGGGATAGTCTTCATTACTCAGCAATACCTTTCATTCAAGAAAAGGTTGGTGAGTCCTGAACTAGACTAAAAAAAACCATGCCAGGTTGCCCAGAATCTTAAAATTTGATGAAGTACCTACATTTGTGGAACACTGAGTCAGGTCTAGTGATTTGGTACTAGTACCCAGCAGTCAAGACATATTTTCTGGAACAGTAATAGAAGAATGCAATCTGTGATCATCCATTTTATAGTACACCACAAGTAAGAAAGGAGTGAAGGTACACTTGTTAGCCAAAATGAAGTTGAGTAAAATAAAAAGATATGACAAAAACCAGGAAGCTTGCTAAATATACCAGGAATAGCAAATGCCAATTCAGTGTATAAACTACCTTTATATATTCCACCAATGAAAACATACAATTTCCCCCCAATTCACTCTAACAGTTCTCTGTTGTATTTGCATGCCACACTTCTTCCAAATAACATGCGGTTTCCGGGCAGTTTCTAGCCCAGGAATACAACATCCTCTGTCTATTATCAGGGCTGAACTCTACAGAATACTCCTATCAAGCATTCTATCTACCCGCCTCTTCAAAGTCTTCCACAACCGTTGTGCTAACAGAGTGTTGTCTGAGACTGACTACTTACAGCTTCTTACCGCAAAACCCAACAAAATAAAATACCAAATTGGTAAAAAAAAAATACAGTAGGTTTCAGTACTATAAAGGTAAAGGTAAAGGTTCCCTTGCTCGAAAGCCAGTCGAGTCCAACTCTAGGGTTGCGGTGCTCATCTCCGTTTCAAAGCTGAAGAGCCAGCGCTGTCTGAAGATGTTTCCGTGGTCATGTGGCCGGCATGACTAAACACCAAGGCGCACGGAACGCTGTTACATTTCCACCGAAGTGGTACCTATTTATCTACTTGCAATTTCTTGCTTTCGAACTGCTAGGTTGGCAGGAGCTGGAACTAGAGACAGGAGCTCACTCCGTCATGCGGCAACTCGGGTCTTGAATTACTGAACTACTGACCTTCCACAGCCTGCAGTTTAGCGTCTTAACCACTTGAGCCACCGCAGCTCCTTTCAGTACTATAGTAATGGAATAAACCATTTGGTGTCAAGAGTCAAGCAGAATGGAAGAAAAGTTTACAAGCACTAAAAGTTACATTAAACAAGAAAGCTTTCACTGTTGAAAAATTAAATCTCTCCTTATATATAATTCTCTTTTGGTGTGAACGTTCCACATGCTCCCACAGCACTTGGCTTGCTCAGCTGCCACTCTGAAGGTCTGCCAATCCCCTGGCTGCATTGCCTCGCTGTGTTGCCTCAGTCCCGCCCACAGAGCCAGCACCCAGCGTCTCGGCCTCAGTCTGGAGGGAGCCGGCGAAGGGGATGGATGCTCCACCGAGTGGAGGCTTAGGAGGCAGCACAGTGTGGCACAGGAAAGCTCCCCTCTGATTATGAGTGACGGGAATTCCCTTTTCTCCTCCACGCTTTCAACCACCACTCAAGAGTACTTGCATGCCATTGGCCAGGTGCTGGGTCTGCTCCTCTTCCCCGCCCACTTTCACTTCAGCCCCTGTTCCCTGTCAGATTTACTGGCAGACAGCTCTCTCTCCCTTGACGAAGACACTTCTCTTGGCTCCTGGGTGGGACTAACTCTCCCCTCAGTGGCTGTTGGTAGGCAACCAAGCTTGCTTCTGTCAATAAAAAGACAAACAACTTCCAGCATAATCCCCTCCCCCGCCCACCACCAGCTTGGCCACTTTCCTGTCAGAATAAACTGAAAATGGCTCTCCTTTTTGGCTCCACCATGGCTGGCTAGCTAATGAGGTGGCCCAGCGACCATCACACCATTCTCTTCAAACCCCTGCTTTTTGGCTGACTTTCCCCTATGGTTGCCAATCTCCAGGTGGGACCTGGAGACCCCCCACTGTTGCAATTGATCTCCAGATGATCTCCAGAGATCAGTTCCCATGAAGAAAATGGCTGCTTTGGAGGGTAGACCCTATGGCATTATACCCTGCTGAGTCCTTCCATCCCCCCCCCAAAATGCTGCCCTCCACAGGATCCACCCCCCAAAGTTCCAATTATTTCCCAAATCAGAGCTGGCAACTGTACTTTCTCCTCAGTGCCTGTTGCTAGGCAACCAAGCTTGGTTCTGTGAGTAGAAGAAGAAGAGAAGAGACTGGATTTATACCCCACCCTTCACTACCCAAAGGTGTCTCAGAGCGGCTTACTTTCCCTTCCCCTCCCTACAACAGACACCCTGTGAGGTAGTTGGGGCTGAGAGAGTTCTTGACAGAAACTGCTCTTTTTCAAGAACAGCTCTTATCAGAACTGTGGCTTGCCCAAGGTCATCCAGCCAGGTGCAAGTGGAGGAGTGGGGAATCAAACCTGGTTCTCCCAGATTAGAGTCCGTGCACTTAACCACTACACCAAACTGGCAGTACACCAAAAGGCCCTTTCCACAGCTATGTTAGCCTTTGGGAGAAAACTCATTGGGGCCAGTCCTGATAGGGTTGCCAACTCCAGGCGAGGAATTTCTGGAGATTTGAGGGATGGAGCCTGGAGAGGGAGAGGCTTGAGGAGGGATGCAACCTCAGACAGGTGCAATGCCATACACTCTACCCTCCAAACCAGCCATTCCCTCCCAGGGAACCACTGTTGTCAATCTCCAGGTGAGGGTTGGAGATCACTCAAAATTACAACTGTTCTTCAGGTAGCAGAGATCAGTTACTCTGGAGAAAATGGTGGACTCTGTGTCATTATACCCTGCTGAGGTCACCACAGCAAATTGTCACTGAGTGCCCAAAGCCATGGCACTCTCCCAGAGCCTCTTTGTAGAGCTCGTTGTATTTATTTCCACAATGAGCTTTATTCCTAGTCATTTTATAAATGAGGCAACAAAATGAGCAGAAAAGGAAGTTATGGTAGAACGTAAATACTTTTTAAAAAGTGGAAATCCCATTATTCAGAACTATTAGAACTCATCCCAAGTAACCAGTTCAAAGGAGATCTGAGGCACTCTTGCAACCTAAAATCCCAGGGGTCCTTTCAAATACAGACGATAACCCAACACTGCTGTGCTATCCAACAACGTATGTCATGCATAAGCTTTAATAACCCAGACCGTGCTAGTGAACTTCGCTGTAAACATGTGACTGCCATGACAATTTACATAGGACTTGCAGTAGTACTAGTCAACATTATGCGTTGGTGGTATACAAGATGCATACATGCCACACAAGTTTACAACCATGGGGCTGCCATATTATCCAGTGTGTATTACCAACGTAACACCAGCCAAATTATAATTCTGTAATGCACCACAGCCTAAACCTTCATTTAATATGCAGCCTACTTCTAGAGCTGCCTTCTCAACCATCTCCCTTCCACGACATACTAAAGTCATTAGCTCATTCCAATTTCATACTGGTCATCTTTCCCTTGCAACCTTTAACTGACTTTTTGTTTTATTATCATCTTTATCCCTTCTTCCATTTTTAACTTAATGGATTGGAGTACTCTCTAGTGAGGTCTGAAAAGGCTGTCCTCTCATAATGAGGCAATATTTTAAATTCTGTGGAATGTATTTGTTTTCTCCCTAAAAATCAGGCAGCCTTTAAAAGACAGACATTAAATTACAGGCCTCTGTTCCTATTTTCTAAGCCTAACACAACCCCTGAAGGCTTACAATATTTGAATCACAGCTGGAGCTGTGGTTACCATACAGTTTAAATATCAGCTTCTTTACTGTGCAATTTGTTTTAAAAATCAAATCAAGGGCTATGTCATAAACAAGTGCTAATTAAGTAGCAAGCAAGAATTGGGCTTTCTGTGCAAGAAAGGTTCTTAAATATCTGCCTCACCACTCTCAGAAGAAAGAATAAATAAAGCCAGCTGGGAAAATTATGGGCCAAAACTGGCATGGGGAACAGAAGAAAAAAACATGGCTAACGTTAACTCTCCAGTAGTATTTCCTAAAACATGCGAGTCAGGAGGACTGCAGATTATGAAACACATCCTCTAGGTGAACAATGCCACGTTAGCGTGGCAATGAAAACTTTATCATATACTTCTTAATAAGAGAACAAACCTATTTTCACCCAGCATCTCTATTTTAAACCAGTCAGTTCTGAAATGATAAGAAATTAAAAGCCACAGCTCTTTTTTGGCACTATGGAACAACTGCTGGGATGGCAGAATATTTATTATTTTTATGTCGTCCTTTGGACAGATGTATTTCTTCACAACAAGATCACGGTAATTTATTATAATCCCCTATTTGGTAAATTTCATTTATTCTTAGCTAAATGCTTAGCTAAGAATAAATGAATTTTTAATACAGTTTTTAGAAACACTTGTCACTGCTTCAGCATTTCCATTTAGTGAATAGGACTGATGTTTCTCTC